AGACTGCTTCTAATAGTTGTATTGTATTTGCAAGACGATCAGATTGTAATTGTTAATTATAGAGGGGAACAGTGTAATTGTGTTTCTGTGGGCGGGGTTAGATACCGAGACTTTTCTCTTTGAGGGTACGTGTGGCAATGCAAGTAAGATTTTCTGTTGAAGAGGACCCTGGAATCAAAGATTAGGAAATGAAGATTTTTAAAGTAAGTTGCCTACTGTCTTCAAGTATTGGCATGTAGCATTTTGATTCTGGACACTATTTCTTAACAATCCTTTTTTTCTGTTTCAACTGCTCTATCAATTGCAAACCAGATGTTAGGATTTTAAGTGGTTTGTTTGGGATGTGTGAGTATCAACCCAAGAGGGAGCAGTGGTGTGGTTTTTAACAGGGGACAATACAGGAAGGCTATGAAGATGCACCCAGTCAGTTTATCAGACAGGTTCTTTTCTTTATCTCAGCCCTGGGCAGATAAACCGGGCTGAGAAGTGGTTGAGAAATCATGATTTGACATTAAGGAGAAATAATTTCTTTTTGTGTTCCCTCCACATGCACCTTAAACACTTGTGTGAGACTAGATTTTAATGCTTGTGACATGTCCCATTCTCTTAAGTGGCTTGAATTTCTGCTGGGGGGCTAAGGGGGCAAAATCTTGTCCTTAACATTTAAAGCAGCCTAATTTGTCTGCAGTGCTATGCTCAGTCCTTGTAATTAAAAAGTTCAAGGAAAATGCCAAGTGGTGCAGAATGTAAGTGGTGCAGAATGTATCTTTTTTTTTTTTTTTTTTTTTTTTTTTTTTTTTTTTTTTTTTTTTTTTTTTTTTTTTTTTTGTAAGGCACTTAAAGTCTGGGTGAAACATCTGTTTCCTCCTCCCCGCAGCTCATTTTGGAGATTAATATGATACTAGTGAAATCTCACTGCGACGTGTGCTGCTGTTCAGTGATGATGTTTCAAACACCTACATGAAAACTAATTGCAGCTTCTGCCATTCACTGCCTCTATTAAAAAAAAGAAGAAGAAAAAAATTTAAAAAGTTTTGTGAGCTAAAATGGTAGTTGCCAGTCTGAGTTACACCTGCAATAGGAAGCTGTGGCAGAAAGTACTTGAAAACATGGGATTATTTGGCATTGCCCATGCCATATGTGCTGAGAGATCACTGCCTCTGCAAACATGACTGTTCTTTTGCCATCCATTTCTGTCCTCAACATGAAGAGCGAGGAGAGTGTAGAGCTCAGAGGGGAAAGACATATACAGAGATATATTGTTTTGAGTTCCTTTCTTCTGTGCAAATTCTCAGTTTGGTTTTTGGGAGTCAAAAATTCAGGCTTGAAATACGTTGTCTTTTCTATGCAGACATAAATTTGCTGTATCTCTACAGCCCATTAAAAATCCAGATGCTGGTGAGTAACAGCAGTGTGGTGGGTACATACCATCCAAAATTTCAAACCAACCAGCTTTCTTAAGTTTTGCCACTCCCTATGATTGGGTGCAGCACCCTCCACTCTGCAGAGCCGTTTACACAGTGCTTACAGTGATGACAGAACCTGTTTCTGTGTTTAGATAATTTTTGGGCCCAGGCTCCTTCAAAACAAGTGAAAAGCACCTCTGTGAGCTGGGCTGACCTCTGGCTGGGCTAACAGGTTGAGCTGAGGTTGAAGACGTTTTTGCAAACAGAGGCTTTTTTAGAATTAATGCCCTTTTCCTTGGCTATCAGACTAACCACTGCATATTCGTTACAGCTTCTCTGCAAATAGACTAATACTACTTGATGCAGCTGACTGCTGTGAAATACAGAGGTGTTTTTGTCAGTTCCTGGAAAAAACTGACATTTCAGTTGGTCTCCCCTTCATCTCAGACTCTCTCAGTTGGTGTGAAACTGTGTAGGTCTGATGAAATCAACAGAACGGTTGTTAGGAGGAGTTACTATCCCTAGCTTTCTGGTACTGTCTGTGCAGCTGAGATGCCTTAGCCATGACCACCTTCAGTGTTGACTTAAAGTAATCTGCTTTTTTTGGCACTGGCATGGATTGGGACTGCTTTCACAAGCATGCCCATGAGATAGTAGCACAGTAACAGCTGTATATTTAAATGTCAATCACTGTAAGGCAATGCCACCGAAGCCACCAGTACAATTTAATAAGACAGATCTAGCAACAGAGTGCAAGTAATGAGTACTTGTTGTCAGGATGCCTCCAGTCGTGATGGTAAAATCCCTGTGAAGAAGGTGGAAATCCCCATGGCCTGAATTTCTTGTTGTGAGAATGGTGGTTCAAAGGACAAAGTAGCTCAGTTAATTTACTGTCCTGAAGTGTTTTTAAAGATGCATCTTTGATGGGTGAGATTACAAACCAGAAAACTAGATAGGAAAGAAAGAGTACCCTGAAGAGAGACTCAGTACGTTTTAGTGAAATAGCTATATATACACACATATATTTTAAGGTCAACGTTTGAAGAGCTCTTTACCCAAAACTCGAATCTGTTGCTGCTTATAGAAATGAAATTGTGTGTTTATCTAAGCCATTGAGATGTAATTTCAGTTTATACCGTGTTAGCACAACTAATCCTTTCAGTGATGTTCAGCTTCTGCCAATTCAGTCAATGGACTAATTGTGTGAAGTGAAGCATTCAAACAGAGCAGTGTTTTATGTACTACATCTTACCACTTCCTGACCCTGTCTCACTGCACACTACCTTCTTGCAGTCTTCTAGCCAGATCTGTTGTAGAGTTAGAAATGCCCAGATTAATTTTCCCTGCTTTGACAAGCTCCTTTACATTGCAGGATGCCAGCTTTTATAGTGCATCCATAGGAAGCGTCTCCACTACAGCCTTTCACCACACAGGAGACAGACTGAAGATGTAGGCAGCTGGCAAATGTGAAAGCAATGAAGAGGTGTTCTGAGGTTGACAGTGCTTTTTATAGTACACGCATTTTCTGGGAAGGGCATAAGAAGGGAGATAAACAGGAGATGATTGTGTCAAGCTGAGAAGTAGCTGTAGCAGACCAAGATGTTCCAAAGAGAAGATCACAGCAAAAAGGTAAGGGTGCCAACTTCATCCTGTCCTTTTTCCTGCTGCTTGAATATTTTCTTCAATGTCAACAGTTCTTCCTTTGAAAATGCTGACATTTTCTGTAGAATCTTATAAATACTGTAATAGCCATTCAGCATTACTTTGAGAAAAATACAGTAGTATTTTTATAGCTCATTCTAGCCCCTTCAATTCCTGCTCTAGAAGTGTGGGTTTTTTTTCTAGAAGCTCTGCAGACCGCTAAAATATTGGTAACAATTCAAAGATCAGAAAAATCTCTACATAACTGCTGTATATAGAGTAATAGTAAATCAAGACACAGGGGGAGAAGTCATGTAGCAGTTGATAAGAAGTCCTACAGAAGACTTTGACTCAAGACTAGAAATAACTGAAAATAACTCTGAAACATTCTTAGATAAACTGTTTTTACTTCAGGGTCTGCTGGCAAGGATGTATGACTAAAGGGACTACGAATCTCTGTTGTCAAAAGCAGTGTCATCATGTCATGCATGCATCCAAGAGAAGAGTGTCAAGGAGTTAATTTGATTGTGTTTGAGTCTAACAATGCAGCATCACAGTGTAATCTAGGATGTTACTCGGTCTTGGCCAAAGTCTACTGTCAGCTGAGTAAATTATGAAGTTCCTTGCATCGGCATGGATTTGGGCCAAAACTGAGGGATTTTGAAAATCCCACTGGTAGTGTTCTCAGCACAATTGTTTTAATGTAGCTTACAGCTAGATCAATATTCATGTTCAGTCATCTAATTTTTCTTTCTTGTTTCTAAGTATACTTGAGGAAGTCTTACTAAAATGATAATGTTCACAGTTTTAACTTCTCTTATTTTAAAAAATACCTAAGCCAGCTTTCCCTAAACCTTCTCTGTGGTCTTCACTCCTGAGCAGAGAGCATATGGGGAAAACACAGTAGTACTGTACATTGTTGCAAGACTTTTTATAACATTAAGAGAAACAGAAGGGGGCCTTAAAATGATAACATAGTGTGCAATAATGACAGTCTCCTAGATGGAAACAAAGCTTCTCCTGATTTTGAGTAAGACTTAGTCTGAATGCTCCTGAAAAATCCTATCCCTAGTTCTTTGTTTTTTATGGGAGCATCTGGTAGGATATGTCAAACAATGTTAGTTACAGTAATTGGCCTTGATAACAGTTTGTAGTTCCTTGGTTATCAGATTTCTGTTCCAGGTCAGGCTTCATATGTTCAAATGGGACCACATTTGCCACCTGGTGTTTTGGAAAAACATGCCTGGAAGCTGAAATGTATGCGGTAGCTGTGGGACTGACTGCCTTCAAAATTTGAGCGCTCCAAGAGTTGAGAACGCTTGGAGGGCCATCATTGCTCAGATGAACTGAGCGCCTTAACATCTCCCCAGAAAGTAACAGATGATGACTTCCTAATATTTCTAAAGCATGGCAGACTTTAAGGCCTGGACTAGTTTTTCATTGGCAATGGGCCAAGTCATGTTATTAAAATTAAACGCATGCATACAGGATTTTCTGTGTAAGGGTCTTGGCACCTTTTGGATCTTAGCACAAGCACTTCTCAGCTCTGACATCTGCCAGAGCAGTTGAGAAACGAGGTAAATTCTTAGAAGGCTCTCAATGGTTCGGACTGAATGGCCAAATTCTAACATGCCTGAATGACTGTCCTTGTCATTTGTCTTCCAGGTCCTCAGACTCCATCAGCCACCAGCTGATCGCATTGCAGCAGCATAGGTGTTTCCATGAGGATCAGGAGGTGTCCTGTCTGCTTCGCAGCTTGTCTTTTGATCCTGCTGGGTAAACACCAGAGAGAGCCCAATATAGAGGCAGAGCACACATTTTAAGAGAGCTGACAAGCCAGTCCCTGCACATACATGCATCTGTGTAAGAGTACTCCAAGTCTAAAGGCCTCTGTGGCACTGCATGGATGTAAGAACTGTTGCATGTGTGGGGTTAGACTCTGCTTTTTGAGACATGATGCTCCGACGAGGATTTATTCTATTTCTCCCCCGACTTGTAGGCCTGCTGGTGGTGGCCTGTTGCTCAGTGTCTATTGTTTATATGTTGGCTTGCACACCCAAGGGTGACAACCAGCAGCTTGCCTTTCCCAGGGTGCACAGGCCGACTGTGAAGGAGGGATATGAAGCCATTCTGCAAGAGCGAGAAGAGCAACACCGCAGCTACATCATCAGCTTGAAGAAACAAATTGCCCAGCTGAAGGCTGAGCTCCAGGGCAGGAATGAGCAGCTTAAGAATGTGCAGGACCAGTACCCAGACCCCTTGGACAATCGGCTTGACCACAGTAACACGGAGAAGGCCCAGGCTAACCTGCTGGCTTTCCTCCGTTCCCAAATAGACAAAGCAGAGGTGCACAGCGGTGTTAAGCTGTCCACGGAGTATGCGGCCGTGCCCTTTGAGAGCTTTACCCTGCAGAAGGTGTACCAACTGGAGACAGGGTTGACGCGCCACCCAGAAGAGAAACCTGTAAGGAAGGATAAGCGAGATGAGTTGATAGAGGTGATCGAGTTAGCTGTTGGGAGTTTGAACAATCCAGAGGGGGAAGGCAATGCAAAACACCACGTATACACAGCTTCTGACTTCGTTGAAGGTTTGTATGCAGACAGCAGATTAGAAGGTCCACATAGTGCTGGTGAGGGGTTCTGGTGTGACTGCGTTGCTGAGGGAGATGAACGTTATCTCAGAGCACAGATGTCTGGGACAGTGTTAGTGCTGTGACCCAGCGATGCTGTCTCAGGCACAACTGCAGAATGACAGCTTTCCTAGGGAACGGGACCTTGTGAGCCTGCCAGACTCTCGTAGTGACCACCAATGTGTGCTCACAGCTCTCTAGTCATGCGCTTGCCTCAGAACTGACAAAGCAAGGCATGAATGACCAGGCTGCAATCCCAGATCTGTTACCACTGTTAAGACTAACAACTGCAGTTCAAATCCAAACTCCAACGTTACTCTTCCATCTGCACAGCTCTGCCAGAGTCAGAGTGGCAAGATAGGTTTTGAGGACAGCAGCTGAGGAACTCAGTAATTCAGCTGGTATCACCTATAACTTCAAATGACTAGGAAAGCTTAACCTTTACAAAGTATCTCCTATACCAGGAGTGGTGCATCTTAGCCCTTGGATTCTAAAATGAGCTAAACAGTCTTTACTCTCACATGTAATATTGAGGCAGTAAGTGTGGATTTTTGAAGTGCCGCTTTTAACATCAACCAGTTTTTACTTCATGTCTTCTGTCACTAAATCAAAGTGCTTACTTGTTTCCAGTCAAGCTGCTTTTTCCCAGCCAGCCAGAGGCACCAGACGTATTCCAGGAGTTGTGATGTCTCCGTGGTTGATACCTGTTCAGGTTAGCCCCTGCTGCACGGCATCTCCGAGTTAAAAGGGCAGGAACATGTGCAGCAGAAACATGATATGAGACAAGATTTCACAGATCTTGTTTCCAAGGGCTCATGACTGTTTCTCATTCAACAAGAGAGCTACATTTTTACTTGTAATATGGCTGTCCTAGTTTCACTTCATAGGAACTGGCATGTTCCCTGCTTGTTCTTCAATAGTGTTGTCTGTAAGTGAGATTTAATCCACGGCTGACCTAGCTGAATGTAGTATAGGAGGAAAGACTTGTCTTCCTCATCTTCAGATGTTTGTGCTGCAGACTTAGAGGGTGTGTGGGTAAGACGCCTGCCTTTTATGGAATGACTGTTCTAACGTGCTGAACACAAGCCCCCGTGCTTATCCCAAATGACTAGTGATTTTGCTGTGGATTGTTTTCTCATCTAATGCTTATGAATAGAGCAGAGCAAAATGGATCCTCCATGTGATGCAGACAGACTATTGCTGTTGTGCAATGGCTGGTCATTCATTTCCACTCTCTGTATATGTTTCTCCGGCAATCATGGTATCGAGAGACAGTAGGTTCTTGAGGCCATGCTGGGGTATACCTGCCAGTCAGGCAGGTCCCTCCCACAGCAGGGACATGAGTTGTTCAGACTGTGGAGACCTTGTTGAGGCAGGTCCTGGCTTCCCTCTGGTCCAGGCACTTCCTCCACACCAGTCAAATTCCTCTTGCTCAGACACGGGACCACGGCATGGGCAAGGAACTGGGAAGTGCTGCTGGCTGCCAGCATTTGAATGCATCATGGAGCTACGTGCTTCCAGTCTCCTCATTTCTGTTTGTTGTTCTGTTTATCATTTCAAAATATGTTTCTACTGTTTATTACAGGAGCTGAACAAGCATGTATGACTGTTTGGCACCAGCTCTTTCATGGGGAGATGGTGAGGGGAAAGGAGGAGATGTTTCCTGCCATATGTTGCTTAATATTCCATTAAAGTTACCCTTTTGCTTAGAGCCTGCCTTTATGCACAATCAAGGGTCTTTGCCTGGGTACCAGTGCTGTCCTTGGGGAACAAGGGAGAATCTTGTGTGCAGAAAGGCATGGCGAAGGGATGCACACTGCAGTGCTGGCTCTGTGGAGATTCTTCATGCACTCATGGCCTTGCTATCTTTCACATACCATCCAGAGGGAGGAAGTCCTGCATGCAACTCGGAGCTCAAGAAACTGGAGCCCTGTGTGCAGCTCAGTCTGAGCACAAGAAACCTTCCTTGTGTCCTCCCCTGCAGGGCAGGCCCTTGCTTCTGTAGGTGCAAGGTAACAAATTCTCATTCTTACTCAGCAGTGCAAACCGGTTTGTTTGCAAATGCAGGTATCTGTGCATCAGGGCTGGAAACAAAGAGCTGACTTGGCAGAAGATGTCCCTGCAGAGTTCCTTTGGAAGTCTCTGTCATCTCTTGGCAGACTCTTTTCCCCCATCCTCCATTCTCCAAGAACGGCAAAAACTGCTGATCAAAGCACAAACAAATCCATTGCTCTGTATAACTTGAGCAGGAGAAGGGAGGACTGAGTTTTCTGTTCAAATTCTGCATTTCAAGTATGGTTTGGACTCAGAACTTGTTTTGGAGACAGCGCTCTGCAGGTCCCACTGCCTACACAACAAGTTAGTAACAGGCTGGATTCCATGGCAGCTTCTGGCAGCTTCTTACCAGTCCAGCAACACAGCAACTGCAAGCGGCGTTACCCAGCCAGCAAAGCCAGCTGTTTTCATTTTCTGGAACTGCCCAGGGTAGCTGGAGCTTTCTGGGAGATGTGACCCAGGTCTGCACTGAAAGTAATACCACTTAACCCTGTAAGCTTTTTATCTTCCAGCTGCTTTAGCAATAACAGCACACAAAAGCTGTATGCGTCTCTCATGTTAAAGGTGGGGCTACTGCCCTCGTCTTAAGGTGCAGCAGGTAGAGGGATGTGCTGAAATGAAAATCAGGTAATCGGGGTCAGAGACAGGATTCAAAACCTGAACTGCTGCTCTTGATATGTGAGACTTCTGTCTTTATTTCTGCCCTATTCAGCAAAGCCTTTGACACCGTCTTTACCCAAGTCTGTTGCTGATCCCAAGTCTTACTAGCATATAAAGTGGTGCAAGTTAATCTTGTTTGCTTGTGCCTCTTGTGTGGATTTTTCTATTCTTGTGGGTCACATCTGGTACCTGCTATCACTTTTCCAGTACTAGTTCATTGCTGACATATGCCAATAGGCAGAGTGGTGGTGTGGTGCAATAAATGTGATTAGAGTCTGTATCTCTTCCTCTTTTCCATTTTGTGCCTTTATTCTTGTCTTTGCAGAGGGAAAATGTTTCTTCAAACACTTCTTACATTTAAGGAGAAATGTTTTGTCTCTGTGGCTGGGTTCTCTTAAAATAAGTGTTGCATCCTCTGCAGTTTCTAGACAGAACTACTTGTGCGTGGGAATTAGACTGTGACCCTAGTACCTTACATCTGAGCTAAACTCCTTCTCAGCAGATTTGCTGTTACATGAAATTTGGATAGGATTCTCAGACAGTTCTCCTTCCAGGAGTAATAGCTGACACGTGGTGGAATTTTCCATTTTTTCTTACTCAAAACCAAGAGAACGACACCTTCTCCCTGGGGCCCAAAACGTATCCATCTGGCTGCTGCTCTGTTCTGCTTCTCTTTTCACAGAGGCACTTGGGCTGTTCAGCTGCTATAGTCCTCCCTTCTCTCCCTTATTCCTCCCACTTCTATACCAAGTTCACTAGTTTTCTGCCACGAGGAGTTAGTAAGAAACAAAATGGAAAAGATCAGAAATTTCTGTGTATTATAAGCAGGCAAAGGACTGCTCTGTTTCCGATAGAAAGCCAGTTGCTCAGTGGGCAGAATAACAGGTCTGGTCATTAATTTATGTAAGTGGCAGCAGAGCTGAATAGATTTGGAAGTCATTCATTTTCTCAGAGATGGAGATGATAGTTTGGAGACTCTGACAAGCCTGAGTGGTGTGTTCCATAAGTGAATGTAAT